TTTWKAGWRKAGWGTKWKASRMGRRGRAKATWKTKWTWWTWKWKATRTGKKGTGTTTTTAGAGTAGAGTGTTAGWCGAGGAGGATAYTGTTATTATTGATATGTAGTGTGGTGTTATCAGATTAGACTACAGACAAGATTGGGACAAGGACTTCACATCGTATTTGAAAAGACTGGACAAGAAGAAGCCTGTCATACTATGTGGAGACTTGAATGTGGCTCACAAAGAAATAGGTATTGCTATGGCCGAGAAATACTGAAATGCAAAAACTATCAACTTGTCTCGGAACATTGTTAGTCCATTCCCATGAGATTCAAAAGACCGGCGGCCATGTTGGAGGAATGAACAATAGAAACTATTAACGTCAATCTAAAACTCTCTTATAAGAAAGTTCCTCCAAGATGGGAACCATTTAACTTTTAAAGGTGCTGTTACTCTGCCCATATAGCCATGAAACAACTCAGTCAAGAAGAAAAAAATCTTCGTCAGCAGTTTTGAATTGATTGGAAAAACGCTAAAACCACATTTTTTCAGAGTACAGTAGCTACAAAACTAGGGTGTAATTGAAAAAAATCACATCTTCAAAACTAGCAAGAGAAATAACTTTATACGTACACAGCATTATATATTATAAGCCAAACAAGTCTTTTGCTGTAAAATTGAGCTTTTAGCATTTCAATTTTATCTTGAATATGAGCCAATTGTGAGCGTGTTCGTAAAAGCACAAAAACGCAACACATACATGTTTTATCGTTTTTCTCAAAATCKGCTAGAAGAATTTCCTTGGTTTTGAGATATATTATTTGCTATAACCTATACAGTTAAACCCAGTACTTTTTAGTTTTTTTTAGGTGCCATCGAAATCTGCCGGAAATCAGCTTTCTTTGAATTCTTTTTTTCTTCCATAAAACAGTGCTATTTTTGCAGTAAATTAAAAAAAGATACATGATTTAAAGTTTTCCAACCAAGTTCAACAATTTCTGTTTATTTTAGGAAAATCGAATAAGTTGGCCGTTTAAAAATGTTAGGYGTACGGGAGKRCAACCACTATGAAACACCTTATMTTTCACTTGAGAMGGTGCATTTACTGGCGAAACAAAGGACATTATTGAACAAATCACACATCCTTTTCGTGAAACTATGTAATCTACTTGCGCTAGGGATCATGAGTTGCTTATAAAAAAGATTTCAAATTATAGACAGATGTCATGAGTATTTCGATTTTGACGGCCATAAAACAAAATCATCATCAAGGGACTCGTTTACCCATGATGCGGTGCGAGCCGATTCTCGTGCACCAGGTTATAACAGATATTTTCCCTTTTTATCGAATAGATCTTGCTAACCCTGGCHCAAACAAAAGGACAGCGGGTTTCACCATAGAAGAAAGAGATGGATTCACCAAACTGCTCAGCCAAGGTTTCGTCGATACGTTCAGAGAGTTATACCCCGACAAGAAGAATGCGTACTCATTCTGGACGTATATGAGAAACGCAAGAGCGAAGAATGTTGGATGGTGAGTTGAATGGCTTGTATTTGAAGCGGGTTTGCCCAGTTGACTGGGTTGATTTCTTTTGTTTTGTGTCTTATTGATCGTTTTCAACCATTCCTATGACATTCAAAATATAAAAGATATAAAATATAAAAGCCATGTTGGAGRAATGAACARTAGATACTAATGCATTTAAAATAATTAATTCGACGCAGCCGGGTCGGTCATTAGCTTGACATTTGATCTTTTATTTGTTAATTTTTGTCCATGACTTGAACCGTCTCGAGTTAATTGAGTTGTTTGATTTAGTTCGAGTTTAGTCTAGAATTTTTAATTTTTATTTTTTAGGATTCACAACTCTATTAGAAATTTTGGCCGCTCTACTTACCTCATTTATTCAACATTCCTTTATTCAATATTAAACTCATCACTTAAGGTGAGCTTGGCGTTTGGTGCGTGATCGGTGGGAGAGGGGTCCCTGGCGCGAGTTAGTGGTAACCTTAGTAACTGTCACCACCCCACCTTGCACCTGTCACACTGACTGCAAACGGTAATAGTAATACTAGAGGAGTGCAGTGTGAAGAAAATGCGTTTTCGATGCGAATAATTGCAATAATCGCGTTTTGAGTGCTAGCAATAGCGAATGGTCGAACTCGTGGCAAGAGCCGGTTTTGGGCTGGTATGATCACGTGAGTAGCGAGTGAACGTGATTGCATAGCGTTGCCCGATAATGATATTTTGCTTTTGTTGATAAACCAACGCTTATGGTTTGTGGTGAGACGTCAGCTATCATTTCGTTATTAAATTCGTGAATTTCTCACTTGGATTGCTACGAAATCGAACTAAATAACTTTTATTACACAATGGCAAATGCAGTGAATAGCAACCAAATYTTTCCAATTATTATCATAATTTATTTCCCATACTTTTTTACGGTGTTAAACTTATCTTCTTTACACAACTATTATCATAACTGTCTACTCGGCTGTATCAAAAAGCTGGCACGTGATGAATGATTTCACATTAATTAATCGTCTACAATCTGTGCAAAACGCTTCCGCTCGCCTTGTATCTCTCTCCAGGAAACACAACCATATCACTCCTATTTTAATCAACCTTCACCGGCTACCTGTTGGATTTCGAATAAAATTTAAAATTCTTCTTCTGGTCTTCAAAGCTTGGAATTCTACGTAGTTTACTAAAACGAGGAACGACCTACAACCACCTRCAACGATCTACAACCACCTAAAACGACCAATAAAAATCTACAATGACCAAGAATGATCAATAAAAATGTACAATAACCAACGATAAGCGTTATAACTGCAAGAAACAAGTGAATTTATTTTCGAATCCACCTCGTTCTGATTTATGCAGTAGACGCAGTTTGGTTATTTGAATTAAAGCTTTACTTACCTAAAATAATACAGTAACTCCTCTGAAGTATAAAAAAGAAGTATTCTCGGATGTAATGACAAATTTTCTTCAAAACCAAGACTTTCCTGTGCCACAAGATCAGACACAGGAAGCCCAAGATATATTTTTGCTTGTCGGCGTGTGTTGTCTATTTGATTAGATTGTCTTTCCTTTTTCCAGTTTTGAGTAAGCCTTAATCGCATTTCCTAATAGTTCACTATAAACATCCWAACACTAGCAAACAATAGAGAGCAGGGAATTTAGATTCAAAATTTAGATTTCTATCCTTTTGAAGTCGTTGCAGAGTGAGCAGTCAAAAAG